ACGATTCTGGTGATTTCTCCGTTGGTTAGCATCCGAAAACAAGACTTTTTTGGAATTAGCCTTTCCAGTACTTTTTTGGGTGCGTTTACCTTCTGTTCCGATAAGCTGTTTTCTGGTGTTGCTTCTTCCAGGCGTGATAGTGGTGGGAAGTTGTCTTTTGCATCGGTCTTCCGAATCCTTGCAGTTTAAATCTTCATCGGCTCTTGTGCTGCATATAGCTTGCTCAATAAAACTGTACAGTTCAGCTGCATTTATTTTGCGACCACAAGATCTACAGACCTGCTCTGAAAAGTTTTCGTCTCTCATTAGTGGAAACCCAATCGAACCGCAACACTCAGCTAAAATCAGCCCGACACTTTCTTCTCTGTTCGACGGTTAAAATAGATTTTCAAATGACGCTCTTCCTCCTCCAGAAGTAAAGTTTACGCCACAAAATCTGCAGCTGCTGTTTTTCTGAATGTCTGCCTTTGGTTTTCTTCCTCCTTTACAAAGCTTTGTGGCAGTTGCTGACATTACACGGCTTCAAGATTTTCTCACAATGCTCGCGGCTATGAATATTTTTTCACGCCTTCCAGCGTAAAGTCAGTCATGCAGAAAAGCGCACGCCTTATTCTAATTGGTCATTGAACTGACAGCTCTGTTAATCCGATTACTGTAAAACAGTAGGCGGAGATGCAAAAGAAGCAGCTTTTGTAGCAGGCGTTCTCTTCTCGGAATTCTCTTCCTCCTCCTCCTGTCCCCTTTATATGCCTGCTACACAGGCTAATATTGATCAGGTGCAATAAGGCTACTACTCATTCTCGTCCCCAGAGCCTCCGTTTCTTTTGGTCATGTGGTCGGAGAAACTCATCGATGACATTTTAAGACGAGTAGCACTGGGGACGAGAATGGCTACCACGCCATTCTCGTCCCCATAGCCCTTTTTGCTCCTCTTAGCCGGCAGGGACTTGGCACGAAAATCAAAGGGCTCTGGAGACATAGGATTTTCCAGTCCTAGATTCTAGGAGTTCCGGTCTTCATGTATGCAGTCGTAATGTCTCTACATGCTTTATGGGATTGTCAATGGCGGCCGTCAAGGCAGGATTCGAGGAATCTTTGTTTTAGGCCTTAAGGTATCAATTTGGAGATTGTTTCCGTCAGTGTAGCACAGAAAGAGGTGATAAGGAACATTGCTGTTTTAGAGAAAGACATTAATATTTTACCTGCTTTGACAAGTCATTGATTTTTCAGTTATTACCCTTTGTTTTTTGACTCCAGGCATGGATCAACTGAATCGGTTATTTTCGTTGTTTCGCCTTTAAATGCAAGATCAGACCGTGAAACAAAACAATTTGCAGGTCAGCTGTCAACTGGTTCGGAATACTGAGTCATTGAGCAAGGTTAAATCTAAAGATATCAAACAATCAAAGTATCCAATAATTTATGGCCACCCGGAGGCATTTGTTGGAAAATTAAGGAAGTTTTGGATCTTGATGATGTGATGGCAAGTATTTAATATCTGTCTTGAGTTATTCCCATTCACTACGGTATAATATAGGGCTTTGTAAGTGAACAAATTTTGCTCTGCAAATATGCATTGGGGCCAAAGAATGTGACACAAAATTTTGTACCTTTTTTGAAATAATCAAAATGTCTTCTTATAGATGGCTTTTTGTGTACAAAAAGTGTAATTTAGCTTCTTTACTTAGTCTTGCCCCACCTCTAATTGAAGGTGGAATTTTCTGATTAGGTTACAAATTATTGCATTGAATGGTGGCATTGTTAATGTGATCATTTCTATTTTATTTATGCACTTAGACAATCCCAATCCTGTATGGGTGGCTTTCAAACTAAAATTAGTCTGTGGCAATTTGATATACTAGTATATACTAATGCAAATGAGGAAATTTAATTCACTGAGCTACTTGTATGCTATCACTGATCACAAACTAATTGAAGGCTTTCGTGCAAAAAGGGCGTATATAGCATTTTGGGCCGATTTTTATTTTTTGCAGGATTGAGCTTATTTTTGGCAGACTGACTTGTTTTGACATGAAAAGCATCATTGCATAATTGTTTTTGTTGATTTGCGCTTCGTTTTTGAGAAATAACGTATGCAAAAAAACTCAGTTTTCCAAAGGTATCTTTTGGAGATATTTTGTTGAGCGAAAAACAAAAGAAACCTTTTGTTTTGCTAAACAATGAAGTCACCGAAGCGTGGTATTTGCCACTAGTTTTATTATTCATTTAATTACGCAATTCTCTTACTGTTCCTTTGTTAGCGCAGGTGAATAAGGTGCTGAACGGGCCGGATTCGAGTTTGTTTTGTCGTGACACCGGTTTGATACGAGGTCGGTCAAATTTTTTTCCCGGTCTATTTCTCTACTTCTTTCAAAAATCAAAACGTCTAATTTATTTTTAAAAAAACGTGCTGTCGAAGCTGCTAAAAGTAACCATTTAAGTTCGTGCCGCATCAAAATCCACCTTCAAAGGATTCGCTCCAAAAGATGCCGCTTGGAAAACGAAAACGAAGCGCAAATCAACAAAAGCAATTACGTAACAATGCTTTTCATGTCAAAACAAGACAGTCTGCCAAAAATTACCTCGATCCTGCAAAAAATAAAAATCGGCCCAAAATCGGCCCCTTTTTGCACGAAAGCTTTCAATAAATCAGCAAATATTCGCATACATTGTATTTCCAGGAAGAGTTTTTGGCCTGCATATGCCCAACTAGGATGCTAGTTGCCATATTTGCAAAGGTGCCTGTAGTCGCACTAAATGCAACAGTAACTGAGCAAACAAAATGTTATACATATTATTGTTGTTATTATGTTATACATGTTATACAAAGTTCCCTTGGAATGG